TTGACAAACTATCTTAAATACCTACTCAAATTAAGGGTAAATACAGTTAATTTAAGAAATGTTCACTTATTTCTAGATCGTTTTTCCAGTGTAAAAGGGGTTTGCCCTAACTTTATTTCTTTCTCCCTGCTCTGTAAATATAAGCAACCTGATGAGTGCTGAGAACTGGGTGCTGCACCACCGTAACGCAAGCCAGAAAGTTAAAAGAGTGCTTGCAAAAATGCACATTTGATTTTTTTCCAAGTTTAAAAGAGCTATTCTAAATTTTTATTTAAATAGTTTTTATCTAAATTGTGTTTATTTGTGTTCAAAAGATAAGTTTGTATTTTAAAGTTAAGTTTTGTCTTTTAATATGTATATTGGTAAATATTTTTTCTAGTTGTTTTTAATAATAAATCTTTTACTTTGCTTACTGGAGTGTTTCTTTCCTCTTAGTCACACCACAGAGCTTGCATTCGTTTTACCTAAAAAATATCTAAAAAGACAGTAGAGGCTCATTACATGACAGGATATATGAACCTACCACCTCCTTAAAATTCATGTTTGAAAAGTGTATGGCCTGATAACTAAATGATCTGCCTCCCATTCTACTTTTAGAAATTCTAGGAACCACTAGTAATCCTCCAGATGGAAAGTGAAGTGCTCTGTTAGGAACATAAGGAACAATCAGAACTCTGATATAAGGTGGAGCTTGGCCATTTAAGGCTTTCTTGTGAGAAGCAGGATTTTAAATTCTATTTTAAATTCTATTTTAAATTCTATTTTGGATTTAACACAAAGCCAGTTAAGAGAAACTAGGATAGAAGAAATATGATCTCTGTTATTAATTTTTATCCGAACTCTGGCTGCAGCATTTTGGATCAACTGAAAAAGAAGAAATTCTAGAAACCTTTTTGATATAGAATTTTATGTGACAGCTTTTGATAAAAAATAACACCATTTTATTACTTTATTATATGAGAACAATTTAATCCCATCCAAATGAAGTGACTGACTAATAAGCTCTTTTTTTTAAAGACTTAAAAAAAAAATAGTCCAAAGACTATAACTTCTGTTTTGCCTACATTCAGGAGCAGAACTTTGAGTGATCCATGTTTTTATGTCTTCAAGACATGGCTGTAATAAATGTAATGGGTTAGCTTCATCTGGATGAATAGACAGACAGAGCTTAGTATCATCAGCATAAAAGTGGAAATTAATTCCATGCTGTCTAATAATTCTACAGATTCGGAGCATATATATATATATATAGTAAAGAGAATTTGTCCTATCAACTCCCCAACTAGGAGTCCTCCTCTGCCATCCTTTTCCCCTTCTCTGAACAGAGGAGTGCTCTCCTGGCCCTGGAGGTGAGTTCTTTAGCATATATTTCCAGTATATGCATAAAAAAATATTTTACAAGGAATTTGATTGTGGAATTGGGGCACTCATCACCTTCCATACTGTGAAGTTTTCCTTTATTTTCTTATTAAAGTAAAACCAAAAAGAAAGGATTTTAACTGTACTTAACACTACAATTAAATATAAAGCAATAGTTATTCACCAGGCTTGCTTTATGTGACTTTATCTAAACAAATTGTTATTGTATACGCTAAAAATGATGTGCCATTTTGATTTTGAAGGATGGTTCTCCAGTTGTTTGTTACTGAAAGGATTTTGTAGAGAGACAACAGAGTTACACAAAAAGACATTGTCTGGTTCATCATTGAATAAACCTGACAGACATATTCAGGCAAGGACCCCGCTAGCCTTCTACAGCGAATCAATCATAATTAAGAAGGAACAAAAACATTTCTTTTTTTATGTAGTGCATTTGCAAAACCCTAAAGGCAACTACAGAAAACAATTTTAACTGTTCTTGTAAAAGTAGGAACACACCAAGCACATTTTCATCTGCAATACATTGTCATAGATTATACTGTACATGAATGGTACACTGAAGATGGCAGAATCAAATGATAGTGTGTCGATATATAAATCTATAAATCAAAACAGATTAGTATTGGAAAAATCTCCCTGAAATAACTTCCCTTGAATGATCATTTTGAAAGCCCTTCTGAACCATTTATAGAAGAAAGCATAAACCAGTGGATTTAACATAGAATTGGACCATCCAATCCATTTAAATATTTCCACCATTACATCTGGTTTTGTGAGTTTGTACATTCCATAAAAACTGACAGACAAAAAGTAGGGGGTCCAACACAATAAGAAGACTCCCACTACAATAGCCAGAGTT